TGCGGCTGCTCTCCATTGTCTGCATCTGCTGTTGTCTTGTGTAAAATCCTGCCTCGGTGAAATAGAAACGAATAACGATCCTGCTTGCTGTACTTCTTTGCTTTGTGTCTTCTTCCCTCGCTGTGGTCTCTCTGGTTGTGCTGCTGCTCCTAGGTTGTAAGCTCTCTGGGCAGGGACAGTGTTCTACTGTGTCTGTGAAGTACTGTATGCGTTGCCGCGGTGTATAAAAACAATACCGTAATCACCATAAAGTGCTCACTCTGGATCCCTTTCACTGCCTAAGTCCCAATGCTAGTTCATAAAAGCAAGAGTTGCTTCTGTCAGGATTCCTGTTAGCTTGATTTTTTTTCCTTTTCCCAGACCTCAAGGGTACTTGGATGTAATACTTGTCAACGCTGTCGAAGGATAAAGCTTCTTGTCTGCTTCTGCCATTCTGGTTTATCCATAAATGGGAGAAGGCAACACCAGTGAACCCGATTTGACAGCTGTTTGTAGCGATCAGGTGAAAAACATGGAGAAGTTGCTGCAGATGGTGTGTGCTGTCCAGCCTGGCAAGATCTCGATAGCCAGTGCTCTGGGACCTCTTGAAATACACCCTGGGCTCGCTCTGGGAGGTCTGGTCCCGTCAGCATGGACCGGTTCGTTATAACGAGCTGTCTGTGCAACGTACAGGAGCCATCAGCGAGTGCACATGCCAGTAAGCTTTTAGTTGAAGGGAGGAAGGGCTAAACACGTCCTTGGAAAGTTCTGCACCTGCCGTGCTGCCTGATGAGGCTCCTGCCTTGCAGCCCTGGGGTCCCTCAGGCTCCGGAGTGCTTCCTGGCACGGACGGCCCCTCACCAGCTGGAGGTGCTGCCGTGGCTGGGCTGACCCCGCCGCGTTCCGGGGCTCACTGAAGAGGCTGTAGAGGACACGGCGGGGTCGGGGTTCAGGAGGAAGCGTGAGTAAACAAACCTTGCACAACGCTCGCTGCTGAGGCGACGAAAGGTCCTTGGTGGCGTTGGCTCTAACAGGAGCTTTCGCCTGTGGGCTCAGTTGTTACCTGCCTAGTTCTGAGCACAAACCGAAACTCCAGGTTTCTGCGGTGCCCCGCACCTTTCCTTGCCTGTCCTGGTTAGAAGGATGGGAACATCTGAAAGGCTGAAAGGGTCAAGTCCCTCAGCCCTGGCCCGCATCACGCTGATTCCACAGCCAGTGCTGTAGACAACGTGGCTGGTGCCTGCTAACTCTCCATCACCGTTGGCTTCTGCCGTTCTGCTCTTCTGAAACAGCCGGCAGAGTGTTGTGGACAGGAAGGGGAGCAGAGGGGAATAAATCCGAATAACTCTGCCTGCAAACCAAACTGGAGTTGTTACTGATGCGGTGATCCACGAGGGAGCCTGCTCCTGGGGCTGCTGCGCCGTTCGGTCAAAAAACACCCTCTGTGTACAAGGTTGTGCTGCTCTGGCCCGAGCTTTGGGGTTGTGTAGGGTGTCTCCAGAGGCCTGAGCAGAGTTAAGTAGCTGAGGTAGATTATTTAAAATGCCTTGTTTCCCCCCAGTTCATTGCCGCTGTATTTAGGGCTGCCAGAGAGCAGCGATCTGCGGTGCTGTTTCAGAAACTGCCCCAGGGCGAAGAACGGTGACTAAGAGGAAAAGCCTGGCTGTTTCTCTCCAGCTGGCAACGTTCAATTATGATTAAGAGGAGCTTTATTGTTTCAACAGACCTTCTTTTGCATAACCGTTGTTATGCAGATGAAGAAGTACAGAGGGCCTAAAGGGCCTGGCTGAGGCCTTGCAGCTCATCTGGGCTCAGGGACGTACTGAGGAAAATTATTCAGGAGTTCCCAACTCGTAGCCCGTGGTTCTCTGAACCACAGAAGTCGTTACTAGTGAAGCACTAGGGTATTGTATATAGCAGAAGTTTTTTAATAAAAGCCTTTTGTTTAAATTATGTGGGGTTATGTGTGTGTAAATGTTGATTTAAACTGTCTCTGAGGACAGCAGGTCAGATATGGCCAGTAGGATTAGCATGGCAGAAGGTGGTACATGTTCACAGAGGCGTGTACTTTATTTTTTATGCTCTCAGTCCTGATGTGTGGGACCAGACGCTACACTCTTAGGAGAGATCTAGCTGAAAAGTGAGTATTTTGAATGCTGGCCTTACGAACGCCCTGGCTGATGCATATAGAGCTCAGCATTCCTCGTGGCTAGTTGTATCTGGGGTAACAGGTGTTTTTGAGGGCTTAGGTACTGTTTTGTGCGTACTGGTTCGAACCCTGTTTTATTGTCAGAATGAACGTGTAGTGCTACAGCTGAGAGGGCCAAGTGGATCTGGGATCTCTCCTGCTGCAACACGGATTTTGTGTCTGTTTTTTTCTAGTGCGGTTGCTGAGAAATGGCCAATGAGAATCACGGAAGCCCTGCGGAGGAAGCGTCTCTCATGAGTCACTCACCTGGCACCTCCAACCAGAACCAGCCCAGCTCCCCCAAACCGATGCGACTGGTGCAGGACCTGCCAGGTACTGGCCCTGCGTTCGGGAAGGCCCAGCACAGCGTTCTGCGGGGCCCTGGTAGGGAGGGAAGGTGAAGGGAGGCCGCTGAGGGAGGCTGGGGTGATGTGTGCTTCAGAGCGTGCTGTGGCAGTAATGGGGACCTGGAGGGCAGGGCTTTTGTTCAGGACGGCTCCGCTCCTGACTCTCTCCTTGTCTTCTCAGATGAGCTGGTGCAGGCTGGCTGGGAGAAGTGCTGGAGCAAGCGGGAGAATCGCCCTTACTACTTCAACCGCTTCACTAACCAGTCTCTGTGGGAAATGCCTGTCTTGGGGCAGCACGATGTCATTGTAAGTAGCACTTGTCTCGAGGGGCTGTGCCGATACTGGGACGTTCTGCAGGGGCGGATGCTGGGGTCTTGTGGACTTCAGGTGACACGTGTGGGAGGGTCTTCTCTACTTCCCGCCATCTGGCTTGGTTCTGATGAAGTGTTCCTCCTTCAGGCGCACGCGCAGGCTGTGCTGCTGCAGGTGTAGTGCGCTGCTCAGAGAGCTCTCGACCGGGGAAGTCATGTTGCATTTCTCTCAGATATCTAAGTCTTAAAAACAAAAAAAGCATACAGACAGGTCTAGAAGAGAATTTTTTAGTTTTCTGCTAGTATTGGTGTCCTTGTGTCCATCCATGTGTGCCTGGGGCAGTGGAATGGGAAGTCAGGAGGGCTTATGGCCTTCGTTTGGGACTCTGCAGTGGCAGCTGATGAACCAACGAGTGCTGTTGTTGTTTGGATGCTTGCAGTCAGATCCCCTGGGACTGAATGCGGCCCCGATGCCACTGGAAGGTGGGATGATAGATACGTCTGTGGAGAGCAAGCAGAGGAAGAGGAGATTCTCTGAGGAGGTTCCACCGAGCGGCAACAGTATTAAAAAGCCTAAGGTGGGTCTGGTGCTGTGAAGCAAATAGACTTAAGGATGTTGTTTAAACTGAAACCTTGGGGCTCTGGAGCTTGGACCTGTTTGTTTGGGGTTTTTTTTGAACTGCAAGGTCAGGCCACCCTGGGGTGACTCAGGCTGTGACAGCTGACACCCAGAAAGTACAAAAGTGGAAGCAGGCTTGGGTCCTGCCAAGCTGTCGTTTCTCACTTATAGCCAGAGGTGGAGAATGGGAGTGGGGAGATAACAGGTTCCCACTGGGAAACATGGTGCCTTGCGCGTCCAGCAGGAGGCAAACTGTGCTGCAGCGATTCCCGGGCTGTCCCGAGTGGCGTCCTGGTGCAGGATCGTTAGGGGTAGCGGGCTGCTTCCCCTTCACCCGTCTCTGCGGGGCAGTAATTCGTCTTGTACCTGCCCAGGTGGATGCCCCAGGGAACCCAGCTGCTCAGCCAGTCCCCAGCTCTCCCAGTATTCCAGGAACCTCTGTGTTGAAGGCATGGTGTGTTTCACCGGAAGATAAACAGCAGGCAGCTCTTTTGCGACCAACTGAGTGAGTTGTCTCCCGTTTGTCTTACGTTCTTTTCTGGGTGGTGGATTAGACCCACCTGAGTTTCCAGACATCTTTGAAAAAGACCCTGAGGGATGTAACACCCCCCTGCCTCTTTGCAAGGAGTCTTGATAGTTCGGTTTCCTGGCTGGTGAAACAGCCCAAGGAAGCGTCTTTAGAAGTAATATTTGATAATTAGCCAATGATCTGGCCATCCTGATGGCGTTTGCTTCTGCCATAGAGTGTATTGGGACCTGGATATTCAGACGAATGCGGTGATTAAGCAGAGAGCACCCTCTGAAGTGCTTTCTCCTCACCCCGAGGTGGAGCTGCTTCGATCCCAGCTCATTCTCAAGCTGCGGCAGCATTATCGTGAGCTCTGCCAGCAGCGAGAAGGTAAGTTTCTGTTGGGCTCCCCTCGTTTGTCTTACCAGTCCTGCAGTACTGGGGCGTTCTTCCTTCTGGTTTGTGTCTGCCTTGTCCTTGTGAACTCTTTTTGTGACGGTTATACTCTCTGTGGCGTTGTTGGTTGTGAACTCATTAGGCAGAACTCCAGTGTGATGACCCTTATCAGAGCTTCTGGGCATCTCTTTATCGTATTGATTGGACCCTTGCTCTGTGCTTCTCCAGGGATTGACCCCCCAAGGGAGTCCTTTAATCGCTGGATGTTGGAGAGGAAGGTGGTTGATAAAGGGACAGATCCTCTCTTACCGAGTGACTGCGAGCCAGTAGTGTCTCCTTCCATGTTCAGAGAGATCATGAATGACATTCCCATCAGGTACTGTTCAGAGACGGGGCACCTCGCTGGGGTGTGTTTGTGTTCGCCTGGTCCGGCGATTTGGCTGCCGCGGTTCTGTGCTTTGTGTTTCGCTTCCGCCGGAGAAGTGGTGGGGTGCTGGCGGTGCCCAGCGTGGGGACGGGGCCTGGCCGCGGTGGGACTGACGCGTGTGAATTTAAACGTTCCTCAGGTTATCCAGAATCAAGTTCCGGGAGGAAGCCAAGAGGCTGCTCTTCAAGTATGCTGAGGCTGCCAAACGGCTGATTGAGTCCAGGTGGGAGTTCCTCTTCAGAGCCGTCACGTTCAGGAAAGAGAGAAGCATTACAGGGACTTCCGGAAGGGGCTGCTGCATCCCACCGTATTCGGTGTTGGTCGTCTCTGAGGGAAAGCAGGGTTAGGAATGTAAGAAGAAAAACAGTGGTGCTGGAGGCATCTTTTGGTAGTAATGTGACAGCAAAGCCTGACAGTGGGGAGGTGAATGTGTGCAGAGAAAAGTGAGAATCTGTGAAATACCGGGCATGGAACGTCTTCTGTCATTTATCCCTGGGAAAAAACCAGAGTGCTTGGGCACTCACTGCTGTTGAAGAGCAGCAGGCTTAGGGCGGTGTTTTGTTCTACCATGTGTGATTTTTCTGACAAGTTCTGCCCCAGGACAGAATTGAGGAAGATAGCCTTGCGGGGGAAATGACAGGCTTGTTAGCGGAGTAGTTGTCTGAGTCACAAGCTCCCAGCAGTGGCTGCGTTTGAAAACGAGAGGCAAGATCAAACCGGACCGTTTCCGTGATAGATGAACAGTTGGTCTGCCTCTCGTGTGGCCGAGAGGACAGCAGACAGCTGTGCTGTGTTTGGAGAGAGCGTGGCAGTCCCTGGCCGTGCAGATGTCTGGAAGCACTTTCCAGGGTAGGGCCTGGAGGGGACTGACGGGGTAGGGCCTGGAGGAGGTGTCGGCAGCTGCGTTCCCCACCGACAGAAAGCCGCTGTGGTGGGATGGAATATATCGCCGTGCAGCTGAGGGTTAAATTTTGCTTCTCCCTTCTGTGCAGGAGCGCTTCACCAGACAGCAGGAAGGTGGTGAAGTGGAACGTGGAGGACACCTTCAGCTGGCTGCGACGGGACCATTCTGCCTCGAAGGAGGACTACATGGTCAGTGTCCCCTGCCCGGCTGAGCGCAGGGAGCCTGGGGCAGGACGGGGGCGCGCTGGGGCCAGGGAAAGGCCACGCGGGGGGGAGGCTGCGGTTGCTTTCCTTTGCTTCGTGAGACGGGAGCGACAGCGGCACGGAGCCTCCGCGGCCCTGGGGGGAGTCCGACGGGGGGTGGGTACGGGACTCCCTGGTTCCCTGGTTCCGCAGGACCGCCTGGAGCACTTACGCAAGCAGTGTGGGCCCCACGTGTCTGCCGCAGCAAAGGACTCCGTGGAAGGCATCTGCAGTAAGATTTACTACATATCCCTTGAGTACGTCAAGCGGATCCGGGAGAAGCATCTTGCCATACTCAAAGAGAACAATATACCTGGTACGCCGTGGCGCTGGGGAGCTGAGGGCTGCGGTGCCGCGGGGGCCGCGCGCTGGCCTGTCCCCGTTCCCGTCGCGGTGGCTGGCGGGCGGGCTG